AACCTTGGTGGATTTTCTCCTTGTAGAGTTTTGTTTAGTAGTTCATTTAGAAGTTCTTGCAGGTTATTTGGAGATCTATAATTTTGTGGTTAGACTTGTTTATTAGGATCCTTTAGTGTCTTTTCGGTATAAATAATGTTTTTCTCATTTAGGTTAGATTCCCTTAGTGTTTCTTTCTATAAGATAGATTTTGGAGTTTGAGATATTAGGGAGCTTCGTATTGGAGAGTCTGTAGCGTCTTTTTGGGAGTAAGATAGTCCTTACTTGTTTTGAGTTAGATTCCTTTAGTTTTAGTTTCTAAAAAAAGAGGTATAGAACTTTGGATAAGTCTAAAACAGAAAGAGTCTACCTTTAGGTTTAGTTTTAGAAGCTATTCCCTAGTTGCGTCTTGTGCTTGTGTAGTGTAGTTGTGGTAGAGGTCTTAACATATCAATGCCTCATTTGATCGTAGGAACAATTAAAGGGCATTGTTATGTGCTTAGGATACACTGTCTTTAAGAAGTGTGTCCAAAACAACAATGCCTACATCCCTTTTATTGTAATTTTCATATTTTCGATTATACTGATGCTATAGATTCTCCCAAGCTGCCTGTGGATGAAAACTCATACGAAAATCCTATAGAGGTTTGGTAGAAACAAAAACTCTTTTAATCCTACAACACTAGTAACATCCTGAAGAGACAAAAATATAAAAGACGGGAGGTCTTATAAACATAGACTTAGGATGGGATGATGCTCCAAGTAGCGGTAGAGACATCAAAACTAAACTAGTGACACGTCTTTCTTAGGGTTAGCCTTTCTTCTTAATCACTAATTAATCAACCAGACAATCTTAACCGACTCTTAAAATCTATTAAACATTAATTCTTAATCAAGTTATTATTAATGTTATAATTATTAAACTCCAAGCCTAAGACATAAATCTAAATCAAGTTTAAACAAATCTAATAATAAAACCCCGTAACCAATCTAAATTTTAAAGTGTAGACAAAATTAGGAGATTAAAATGATGAAACTAAATTTCTTAGGATAAAAGACTTCTAAAGATCAAACTTAGACTAACCTTTTAAATCAAATAAACAAATTCCCCTAAACATAATAATCAACTCCAAAGATGGATTATGGATGGACTACTCCGAGCTGCGGGCTAAGTCCTAAGGAGCCTTGGTTCTCGAGCCGGTGGCACAACGTCGACGAATGGATTCAATTGGAGTGGCGCAAAACTTTAAAAGATTAGTTTCTTTAACTGGCTTAAGTCAAAATCAGTTGATTAATAAATTACTTAATTACATTTTCTTTTAAGTTTACAACCAACAAAATAATCAATCAAATTGTAAAGAGAATACAATCTCTAAAAAATCAACTTAAATTATTAAGATTTAAACTCAATTAAAATTCTTTTTTTTTGCCTTTTAACAAATCAAAATACCAAGCAATTTCAACTAATCATGCTACATAGGACTATCCAAAGCTACATAAGACCTACATTACACTTAGACTTGTTTGATTTAGGACACGACCTTTAGCCCTAGTATGCTAAATATTGTCTTTCATTGTTCAGTATTGTACTACATGACCCATTTTCTATAAATGCAATTATTAAATTTCCTGTTAGCTATATTTAATTTCCGTGTTAGTTATGTATTTGTTATTTACCTGCATTTCTTTTCTAACAAATCTACGCTCATTTGTATATTCTCTCTTATCTTATATTGCGATACACGGAGCTTGATATCGGGAATTAAACGGAAGCAACTTGCTTTGGAACTTTTAATGGCCGCGCCATTAATCTGGACTTGCTTGCTTGGTGAGTTTTTTAAGTGGCAAGCGCCACAACTCAGGTATGAGCTCGGCAACTATGTAAAGCAATTTCTTTTAAATATATATCGGAACTGCTACACTCCACACACAACTTGTTAATAGGTATTCTAGCATGTGTAGGTAGCACCAAGGGTAGTTCACTAACGGAAGCTTTGGCCCTATAGGTTCAAAGCTTATGCCCCCTTCTGTGAGCCCTAGAGACCCAGTTAGTCATTTTTAGGCCTTAGAGTAGGCCACCTATTATGCCGGTTGCATCGTTGTTTTTCCCACAGAAGTGTGCATCGTTGTTTTTCTGCTAGGATTTTGGCCTTTCGGTTTTGGGATTATGATACCGCCTCCACCTTCGTTGAGCCTTTAGAGACCCTTGGGTCATTTAGGCCTGTAGAGTAGGCCACTATTTATGCCATTTGGGCATCGTTGTTTTCCCGACACGAGTGGGCATGCTATTGATATTTTCTGTGCGGGTAAATCTTGCCTGAAGGGATACCCTTAGGGTGTGTTTATTTTATTTTTTTTTTTTTCTGTACTCTATGGATTCATGGCATACTTCTGTACAGACACTTTTCTCCCACAATTGCACCTTACTTACATGCATGGCATGCAAGTGGACCTAAGGACATTCTTAAATTTATGCCATCTTTTCATGCATCACACAACGATAAGTTTATTCGTCTGCATATTTGTAGAGTCGTTGATAAGTTCTTGTTGAACTATTAATCCTGAATCCTTAGAGATAGACCCTCCCATCTTGCATACATTTAGACGGTTTGTTGCTTAGGATTGTACTGGCTTCCTTTGTCAGGCAAGAAAAGTCCAGGAACTGCCATGTAGTTAAGTCGTAGATGTTAGTGTGTTGTGTACAACACTACATCTTATAGATTCAGGGTCTAAAGGTGAGTGTACGAGTGTACCATATACACCTATTTTGGGTGGGTAAGCTCCCCATTCCTTTCGGAGGAAGCTATAAATCCTACCCATCCGCGTCACACAGATGACGCCACCTCCTTCCTTCTCTCGTGCATGTTTGAGTGCAGTGTCTTCTCTCTTTTTCTCTAGTTTTCTCTTTCTCGGACCGTCCGGATGTTGACTGAACCACGTGTGATTGATCGAGCCAATTTGGGACCTTCTTCCCTTTGATTAGGAGAGCCTAAAGATTCCTTTGTACTAAACCCATTCGAGGAGATAATTTAACATCCTTAATCGAGAGTTTTCCTAAGTCAAGGCTTAGGATGTAATTAACTACGGGGGCTTGCGCCCGTAGGAAACCGATCCCCACAATCAAATAAACCCTATTCGATGCTGAGGTATCGAATGGGGGAAATCTCGTGAACTTTTGGGTTATAGATATTATTATTCATTGAGGTTGGTAGGTGAAAGCCGCTATCCTCCATGGCTAATCGTATCTATAACTCCATCTGCTCTTCCATCGGTCTGCTTGTGTCGATCGTAAAGGTCTACGACCACTTTATCCTACGGGATAGTGTGATCGTACTCTTTGCATTCGAACCACACGAGCGGAACCCTTTCGGAGACCCACACTAGTGATCTTCGGAAGCGACCATCATCTAGCATTCATGAATAGTCGATCCAGATCTTGATTACGGCCTCGCCTACGACGAGCAAGAATTTGTTTGCACCTTGCACTCGACCTTATTCGACGTCAACCTGCGTATCAACCACACTGTAGAAGAGTATGTAGAGCGCATCCTGGACACTCTGGTCGAGGCTATTGAATAGCAACTTAGGACCGTACAATGGAGAATTACATCCGAACCTTGACGAAGGTCTTCCAATCTCCCTCCTCTTGTATTTCCTTAGTCTAACCCACTTTCTTTTGATTTGATTTAATTCAGAAAGAGCAGTTGGTATGTATATCTAATTTCAAATATGGACTTCACCAACCCCAGGTGGAACTTGTGTAGAACCATTGAACAGGGTTATGACATTATCTTGGAGTTACAAATGTTACATAGCATTTATATTCATCCATTTATATTTTAGTATATGTTAATGAGCTCATGGTCAGACCAAAGGAAAGGTTGCGTGATATCTATTAAATATTAGATGACTAAAAATAGATTAACATATTTAGAACATACGCAACAAAGGGTAAAAAATGCGCCCAATAAACAAGTTGATAAAATAGCATTATTGGATTAAAAAGAAAAAAAGGTAACAAAGAGTATACGGATACAAGTTTCTTAAAATTAGTTGCGCAGAATAAATTTAACAGCTCAAACAACGAGAAAGAATAAAAAATAAAATTCATTGGGACGAGGCCAAAGATGATGTTGTTGTTGTTGGTCCTTTCTAGGGATGATGGTTCTTAGATTTTTTTTTTGAGTTTTGACCCTCTGTTTAAAATGTGAGGAGGCCAGCCTTATGCCCACGTATCAAAGGAGTAGCATTTACTCCATTCTTAATGGAAACCTAGATTCAAAATAAAATCAAAATTCTGATAAGAGCAAACAAATAAAGGAGGACATGTGTGCATTAACATTCACACCCCCAAGATGTTATGGTCAACTTTATGAATTAATCCTTTTTCAATTCTGTAAGAGACAACAAGATGTGGTGCTTATTCCGGTTTAACTAACTTTGCTCGAGCAACTTTAAAAATGTCAACTTTGACCTACCCATTCACCTTTCTGAAACTTTCAAATGGCTCTGGAGCCTCATTTGCCACATGTTCTTTGCTCTCAATATTAAGCGACCAACCCATCTCAATATATTTCAATTTTCAACAAGCTTAAGAAATCTAATTCTAATTCCATATGTTAACATCTAAATATCAATGTACTCAAATGTTAATCAACAAAGAATGACATTTAAATCACGGAAAAATAACAAATATAAGATGCATGACTAATCTGAAAAGGTATTTCAGGGCATTCATAGGCATACTACGATAAGGTCATGCCAATCATGGTTGTTACTGAACACACTTAACCCAAATGTACACTAGAAAGGAAAATAGTCGACAGTTAAACAAGTTGAAATAGGAATCAGAAATCGTGAAAAGGATTTAGCAACAGCAATAATCATTTCAAAACATTGAACGTATTTTAGATGAAATCATAATCATGAAATAACAGCAACGATCTTGTGAAACTAAGATTATTAACATCTCAAAAAATGTCATTCATGCATGAGAGAAAAAGCAGAAATATTCTACGAACCTTGGCTACACCTTCAATTTGATCCAGCAGAGATAATATGTGACGAAGTGTAAGAGACCGATACCACATTTGACGCAATTGCTTATTGTGAGAGCTTAGCCGTTTCTTTGCTTCCGCCATGTCAACTTTCAATATGGAAATACTTTCTGCAGATTCACTAAATAGCCGCAAGATCTGTACAGGCAATACATGCAATAACATCAGTAACATTACTTATAAAATGGTCAATAATGACCTCATTAAACATATTGTAACTGACAACAAATCAAGCCATGGAAAGATGCTAAAATGAAGAGGAATGCATTAGCAACAAGGAAACATGGTACAAAACATAACAAGAAGTATAGGGCCCGTGAAAGACTAACTTGGGAGTAGTTCTGAATTGCTTTATTGAAACCATGATGATAAGAGTGAACAACTTCATCCACAACATCCTCAATAAGGTCACTTTGTTCCTTCAAGAATTGAACTTCACCTTCACGATCCCTCGACGTTAAGATATGGACCACATGAGGCAATGAGTCGAAGCGTGCAGCGGCCCAACTTTCATCTATTCTAGAGAGTCCTTCTCTCAAGTACTGCAAAGAGAACATAACATCATAAAACAATGCAATAATAATAATAACAAAAGGGATTCTACCAAAACACTTTCAAAATACCGTATTAAACATTCATATTCAACTTCAAGTGGAGATGATACAAGATTAAAGACAATGAAAATGTGATTAAGAGATAAAACAATGCAGGTAACATTCTTTCATAAAAGTCAAAGAGCATCCAATTTAAGCTACAGCTACAAGAGAACATCGGAAAATTTAATTAAAGACCAAAGAATATCATATTTTAGAAAAACTACATGAACAAGGATTACAGTTCCTAACCTAACCTAATAAGGATTTACCTTTAAATCCAGACGTGTAAACTTTTAAATAATAACATGAAAAGACTAGATACGGGGCGGTCACTGTAGAATTAGTTAAACGAAAATAGGAATCCAAGCAAAACTGAAAGAAATTACAAATGCTATCACATGGATGAGTTTGCATCCTAGATTCAAAAATGGCAAAAGAATTTGGCAATAAAAGATCAAGAGAAGGCCAAAATTAGCATGATAAATTTCTATATAATAAAAAGTTCACATGGAAATACATCATGCATTCAATTATGAAGCTTCAGCAACCAAAGCCTAAGCAAAAAATGATGGAAGGCAATATAAGAAAACTATAGAATAAAACTCTTGAAATAGAGAAACAACAATTTAAAAAGACATAGAAATGTTAATATTTCTTATATGAAAAGCTAAACAGCAGCTCATTATGATTTGCACATTTGGGAAAACAATCATTTAGGGATACATTCCAAGGACATCAGCAAATATTGCTCAAAATAAAGAAGAAAAAGCTCATGATGGGTAGAAATCATTGACAAACTTTTTTTAGTAGCAAACCAATATTCTGGACATACACTTAAAAGGAACCTTTGATGCAATCAAATTAACGAATACAACTTACAATTTCCTCACTGAATTCCAGCCAACCAAATGTCATATTATTAATCAAATAACAGCAGCGAAAAATATCACCATTGCATTATTAAAATCAAAGCAAAGGAAAAAAAAAAGAGGGTATTAAACTGAAGTTCCTTACAGCCTTATCAGCAGGAATAGGCAGGCCATCAAAGATCCCTCCTTTAGTATGGTGGAAGCTCATTGAGTTTTTCTACCTGAAACCTGCACATAACACAATTCATCAAAGACCAGCAAAATCTTCACTCAAAACTTGGGCCGCACAAGAGTAAGAAACCAACAAACACACGGTAGTAACTTGTTCACAGAAACAATGTAGAGAGTTCATAACATAAATGTTTTGAGACCCAGTTCAGCAAACTTTTAAAAAAAAAACACTTATCTGAATAACTTTTGATCATGGTCACAGAGTAGTAGTCGGGAAATGCAAGTGAAAACCGCAAAAATAGTAAACGGAAGGTAAACAAATTAGGAAGTCAGTTGATCCAAACTACCACTTTATCAATCTAGGGATCAAGTGAATTTATATACAAAATTTTACATATCATGAGATTTTGGAGATTAGCTGGTTGAAATGAAACTTTGTGCACATAAGACAAAAGAGTAGTAGACAGTGATAACAGAAAGGAGATAGGATTCAATTAATTATGAGATCCCAAAAATGAAAGAGATGAGTAGAAGATAGGAGATAGGAGAAAATTGATCATGAGATCCCAAAAATGAAACAGCAGCCAGTCAAAATACTGAACTGTCATAATTGATTTAACAAGCCAAAATCAAAGCACTTAGGGAATTAATGTACATAGTTAATTGATGAACGTAAGGGAATTTGATTTCAACATCATTCTAAATACAAGCGAAGGTAAAGTGATTTTGGCAAGAGAATAAACTTTCAAATTGTCATTTGCTTCAATTGATATTACCTATGAACATTTTGGTGTTATTTAGTCATTTTAATCTATTTTATTAAGATGCTAGTGTTACTATATGTGAATAATATCTATTAAAAATTGTGAGTAGGATTTAAAGTTCTTACATTTAAACAAGTCTTTTTCTAAATTGCTATTATTAGGTTTATTATAATATATAATTTCCAATGCCCCTGTGTTTAAATGACCCTCTTGGTATGTTTGTCATGCTGCCTCAAAAACGTTCTTGCTATCACGCAAAAAATAATAATAATAAAATTTGCTTGGAGACAAGTAAATGAATTAGGAATGAAAAAATGATAACCATAGTCCAACAAGATAAAAATCACTACCAAATCTTTGAAGCTTTTTGGGGGATTATTTAGCTAGAGAATTAAGAATACGTGCATGTCAAAATGCCAAGTAAAGTAAATGCAGAATATTTGAAATAAATAGTTGTTTGGTTGTCAGTGAACTAAATGCAAAGAAACTGTTTTCTTTTCTGTTTGATTTGTTGTAAAGTACAGAGTGTGATGCTTCCCTAAAATGCAGTGCTAAGATTACATCCTCGGCATCCTATATAAATTTTATAGTTATAGACTATTTTTTCTAAATAATTTTGATCTCTTCTCAATTTTGTGTTGCCCCAATACTCATCCAAATCAGACAATCATTTTTTACTACCTTGCAATTGCTCAGCCATCTTAAGTGCATAGGTAATCCAACAAAATGTTAATTAAAACAAGAATTTATAGTGTTTAAAGCTATATATTTTGTCATCACGCATCATAAGTTTGGGAAATAAACACGAAAGCAAAGTTCAGTCCTGAATTGCAATTTAAACCACCTCATCGCCTTCAGGGGGGTGTTTGGTATCGGATTTGTCTTTACTTTTAAGTAGGATTTAACCTAAATCCAGCCAAACGCGTTTTCGCGCTCTTCTAAATCCGGCGACTCCCTAAATCCTGGATTTACGGAGGTAAATCCTAATCCCATCCTTTCCCGGATTTAACTAGATTTACGGGATTTGGCCGGAGAAGAGCGCGAAAGGGAGAAAGTTACCTTCAAAGCCAGCGAGCTCCCGTTGTTGCATCCGATCAAAATGTCGTAACTTCCGATCCGACAGGAAGGGAAAGTCGTCGAAGGAGCGCAGTCGAACAGCCACGAAGAACGAAAGAGCCGAAGAAGCGACGCGTGCAATCTCAACACTACAAAACAACGAAGCCGAACAGCAACTACGAAAAGAGAAGATGAAAGGAAAACCTAGACGCCTCTAAGCTATTATTGATTAACTTAATTAATATAATTTAAAATATTAATAATTAAATAATTAATAGTATAATTAGTGCATAAATTAATTATCTAATTTAACTTAATTAAATAATTTGTAATATAATTAGTAATTAAATATTAATATAATTAGTTTAATTAATATAAATTAAAATATATACTATTGAATATATAATTAATAGTGTAAATAATAATTAATGAGTAATTTGAACTTAATAATCTTGATAATCATATAATTTAAATCTCTAACTATCATAAATCCTGAAATATATTCATAAATATCTTCTCAAGATTTAACAGAATTTAATATTTATCATACCAAACACTCTTCAGAAATTATGAGTCTCAGGATTTACTAAATTCGAATTTATAAGATTTATCAAATTCCACTAAAGTTGAATTCAATCTGATATCAAACACCCCCTCAATAAAAAAAATGAAATGCCATTCATATTAAAGCATAAATTTCACATCACTAGCATAGAAAGGAGGTTTAAAAACATAAATTGCAAAATAAAACAAAACAAAACTTGATAGTGGGCAGAATAGGTAGGCAACAAGAGGATGGAAGACGGCGCTCAATGAGACGAAGAGGGTAGGGAAGGCGGAGATTAGGGCGACGATGGGGACTGCAACAGCGACAGGAGGCTAGTAGGTCGACTACAAGGACGCCAGCAGAGATTAAGGCTTCGACAGGAGGGTTAGATACGGCGGCGTGATGCTTCGACGGGATTGTGAAGAGGTATCTGACAGCTGTGGAAGCGGAATGGCGAGAAAAGGATGGGGTCAGAGAGAGGTGCGTGATAGCTAGATTCACACAGCAGCCGCGAGTTGGTTTCTGGTCAATATCGGAAGCAGCAAGCAAGCTTCAGTGCGGAGAGATTAGGTTAAGGGAAGAGAGAGAGAGAGAGTAGATTTGCAGCATGGGACCTCGATCACAATGGAAGAGGACATCGCATAAGCAAGTGTTCGGATCGAGAAATTATTATGTGTGGAATCCGGTCACAGAGGTGTGTTCGGTTGCCAATAAAAACATTACGCGTGGCGTGCTTACATGGAAAGTTAGGATCCAACCCGTTTGTCTTTTCAGACCAACTGCAGAGATACACCCGCCCGCCCATCCCGAATTAAGAGTAAACAGATGAAAAAGGCGAAAAATTTTCACATTTTCACATTTCGGCCATTCTCTCCAATTCTCCCGAGGCTCCTGCAAAAAAGTTTTCTAAAAAAAAAACGGCAATCTCTTCTGCTCAAATGGAGGAGGGAAAGGATTCACCTGCAAAGAAAAATATACGTTAATGCTTACATTGAGATAAAATGTACTACGTATTTCTTTGGTATTCAATACGTATTTGCTGAAGAAACCAAAATAAAAAATAAAATCATTCCGAGAACGATAAAAGATTATATTTATCTCACTATTTACGTTCTTTCTGCATATTTTATTTGTATATAATGTGTATATTATGCATATATTTTGCTTATTTTTTGTGTATATGTTGAAGACAAACCCTAACATTTTATAATAAATACTTTGGATCTTTAAATCATAAAATAAACTTTCAATAAAGAAAAATGATTATAGTAAATAATTATTGATTTATGCTTATATTTTTTGTATTCTTTGCGTACCGTATGCATATATAATGCATGTACTTTGCGTATTTAATGCGTACAAAATGCATATAATCTGCATATGCTTGTGTATATATTGTGTTTTATATGCGTACTTAATCAGTATCACTTGCTTCTCTAAATTAATTTTAGTTTCTTAATTTACACAGATTTACGTCCGTGCTATATCTTATCGCGATTATGTTTCCACATTTAGAACAATCTATGATAATTTTTTCGAGATAATTCCTCTTGAAATTGAAAAAAAAATGAAGAACCTGAATATGTAACAATTTCTTTATTTTCCTGGATTTGAGCAAAACGCCCCACTGATCTACCAGCTGCTGACAATGTAGAATATTCAAAAGCAAAGTTTTATTATAGAGGGTCATATTATACCTTTCATAGCTAATGAAGTTGCCCTCTTTACTGGTCTTTCAAACAAAGGTGAAGATATTACCTGGCTGACCTTGCCCACTACAACCATCACTTCAAAGGATATAAAGTCTGAAATTCTTGAGTTGACTAGAGAAAGCGCCCCAAAGATTATGTTGAAAATATTTATTATATATTTATGTTCAAATTTATTTTTCCAACAAAACAACTTCAAAGTTTCTAGGTTGTTAAAAACAATATCAAATAATGTTGATGATTTTTCATCAATTAACTAGGCATGGTCAATTTGGGAATGCCTGGTTGAAGAATTTAATAATATGTCTTTGAAGATCTCCAAGAATAAGCCAGCAGGTTATGTCAATGGTTTTGTGTCTCTGCTAATTGTGAGTGCTAAAACAATTCTAATTTAACATTTAATTTGACTGAATGATTTGCTAAAATTTACTAAGAAGATTTCAATTTTATGCAGGTTTGATTCATAAAGCACACTTCCATTCATTACCCCAAGTACCCTGAGAGAAGGCCCTGTTTCCTTCGATGGGGTGATGACATTATATATAATACTGAGAAGACAGCTAAATTATTTATTAATTTAAAAAGAAGACAGGTATATATTGTGAAAATATTTATATATTACTTATTTATTGTGTATGTACTACGTATGTCTTGCATACATATTACGTATATAGTGCGTATATATTGCGTATTTATTGCGTATATATTGTTGAAATTATTTGATGATAAATTTTCTTACAAATTAATTTTTCACAGATTTTTGTTGACCTCCAAGCAGTTACCCCTGAAGAAGCTAATCTTCTGGGTATCAAGAAATATCCATCAAGCCCTCTTTCTCCCATTCAAACCAACACACCTTAACATCATCTCCCAACACAATCTCCCCAACAGTCCGAACCCAAATCTACCTTGCAAACCCAATCCCAATCATTCGATGTTCTTGAAGAGAAAATAATGAAAATTGTGCAGGATGCCTACAAAAATCTCTTCCAATAATTTGAAGCTAGGCTTAGCAATAATTTTAAGCAAATTATGAAAAGAGTTGATCTTATTGATAACAAGCTCCAAAATTTTATTGTTCAAGGCAATCTTAATCCTGATCAGCAAGATGCTCCCTCCTCATCATCATTCATTCATCATACAATGAATAATATTCGGATGTCTTCTGAACATACAAAGATCCAAGCCCTAGAGAAAATCAATGAACAAGAGATGACCAAGGCTGATGACTTATAAGAGGATGTCAGTTTATTAAAAATTGAAAAGGTGTACAAGAAGCAAAAATTAGACTTCAGAGAGGACCAATGCCATAGAAAATCAATCTCAAAAAAAAATAATAAGCGAAAAAAGGTACACCCCCAAATAGAATCTGTCTAAAAAGAGCCATCACAAAAAGTTCCATCACCCAAAAAACCATCCCCAAAAGAACCTCCCAAAGAAGAACCATCCCAATTTGTTCAATCTCAAAAAGAACCTCCCCAAGTAGAACCATCCCCAAAAGAACCTCCTCAAGTAGAACCATCCCCAAAAGAACATCCCTAATTATTCCATCACCAAAAGAACCTACCCAAGAATCATCCCCAAATGAACCTCTGGAAAAAGAACCAAAAGTTCCACAATCAAAAGAAGTAATCAATGTTGATAATGTTATAATAATGGATTTCCTTGCTAGTCCTACAGTGAACTTCATTGGCTTGGAGATGTTGAGTCCTGAGAAGGAACTTTTTATCAGGGATAACATAAAGAATTATCTCGATGTGTATTTTATTTGTGTTATTTGTGCGTATTAATTGCATAACATGTGTGTGGGTCTCCGAAAGGATTCCGCTCGTGTGATTCGAATGCAAAGAGTACGATCACACTATCCCGTAGGACAAAATGGTCGTAAACCTTTACAATCGACACAAGCAGGCCGATGGAAGAGCAGATGAAGTTATAGATACGATTAGCCATGGAGGATAGCGGCTTTCACCTACCAACCTCGATGGATAATAATATATATAACCCAAAAGTTCACGAGATTTCCCCCATTCGATACATCAGCTAGAATGAGGTTTATTTGATTGTGGGGATCGGTCTCCTACGGGCGCAAGCCCCCGTAGTTAATTACATCTTAGACCTTGATCTAAGAAAACTCTCGATTAGGGATGTTAGATTATCTTCTCGAATGGGTTTAGTGTAAGGGCAAATTCTAGGCTTTCCTAATCAAAGAGAAAGAGTGTCCCAAGTTGGCTTAATCAATCACACATGGTTCATTCAACATTCGGCGGATCTGAGGAAGGGGAAACTGGAGAAAAGAAAGAGGCCAAGCATCTCAAGCAAGCATGAGAGAAAGAGGGAGGTGGCGTCATCTGTGTGACGCGGATGGGTAAGATTTATAGTCTCCGGAAGAATGGAGAACTTACCCACCATTAAGGTGTATAGGGGTACACTCGTACCCCTCACCTTAGACCTTAAATCTATAAAAGATGTAGTATTGTACACACAATACTAGCATCTACGACCTAGCTAATGCGATCCTGGACTTATTCCTTGCCTGACAAAGGAAGCCAGCTAAAACCACCTAATCGTGTAAAATCTATGTTGTCCAGTCTGTATGAAAGATGGGAGGGTAGTTTAGACACTGAAATTTGGGATCGACAAACTAGAGAAATTCCTAAGTGATCCCACACTTATGAGTGGTATAATGCTTCTAGAACTAGTGTAATTAAATTTTAATTTTAATTAGTTACTAATGCAGTTTATGCTGGTTAAAGTCTCCAAATCAGATATGTATGAATTTTAAAATGGCTTTATAAAATAATTTTTGAATGACTAAACTTCCCCAGGTCCGGCACTTCATCCTCATAGGCCAGATTATCCGGACTTTATCTGCAGGCGGGGAAATTTATCTAAAAGATGAGAGAATGCGTGCATGCCACCCCGGACGATTCCGGCTATTCCCTAAAATC